TAGATTAAAGAAACAGAGTTCTGCAAAGTTTTCAGATATGAAAAATATAAAATTTTGAACTTGTTTATTCCATCAGCAAAAATAACATGGTAACCCCTAAAGAAATAAAATAACACATTTGTAAAGATGCAAAACTCAAAACACTTTATACTTTTAAGTTTACTGTACTAACCTGAAACATTACTGCTTATCAGCCAGTAATAGAACTTTACTTTTAATACCCCTGAAAAATATAGTTTCCGACATTAACCCAAACACTTTTTAAAGTGAATTTTTGATCCTTACAAAGAGGCCAGCTCGACAGCCCTAATGAATGTCTTCTTCAGTTTACCTAGAGAATAGTAACTGTGACACACCCAGGGTAAGATCCAGATTTATGAATTAGTTGTATCTCCCTGCCCTCTAACCTGGATGCCTATTCACTGCTTTGCTGCTGTAGCCACCACTCCTGATTTGCTCACTCATAGCCTGCAGTGTGCAGTCACTCTCAGCTACATTGTGAAAGTGCTACAGCCAGCCATTCTTGAATTACGCTGCAGGGTCACCCCAACACTCCCAGTCCCAGATTTCCCCCCAGAAATGTGTATCTTGTACTGCCCAACCCTTCCATGCACAATACATGGTTATATAAAGTTTGTCGTTTTATGAACAAAAATGATATGCAACCCTTGCTGATCCAAAATGGAGTTTCCCAAACACTTCAATTCAAACACACTGGATTAGATAAAACAATGAAACAAGTTTATTAACTACACAGATTTTAAGTGAACACAAGTAACGAGGCATACAAGTCAGAATTGGTTACAAGAAAAATAAAAGTAAAATGCAACTAATGCCCAACTTAACCAACTAGAGTAGCTTCAAAGCAAAGTTTCTCTCACCACATTTTTTAGCACTATTACTGGCTGAACTTCTTTCAGTGAGACTCCCTCTCCCAGTCCAACACTGCTTCTTTTGGCAGGTGTTGTGAATGCCATAAAGAGAAAGAAAAGAAGAGAATATTTGGGGTATCTGCCCTTCCTTTTTATGGTCGTTTTCCTCCTTTGAGAACCCTCTTCAGACAGGCAACATGGTGACAGGCAGACTGTGTGGATGGGAACCCTGTGCTGTTTCCTTGCTAAAATGTCGATTTTTTTTTTTGCTGAATGAATAGCCACTTAGCAGGTGATGGCTCATTTGACCTTGTTTACACCTGACGGAGGCTTCAGTTTGCCCTTTTTCTCCAAGGAAGTGGTCTGGCAACTCCCCAGACTTGGAATACATCTTAATAACACCATACATTGGAATCTTATACTTAATACACAATGCTGGCACACGTGTTTTACCAGGACAATAATGATCAGCTAATTATGAGTTTTCAAATAATACCTCACAAGGCATACTTTGTAAAAAAGTTTATTACAATAGTGTGCAAGGGGTGAACACAGTAACAGGTGTTACTGTGCTGACCTGGAAGGGACCACCTCAAGGTCTCAATGTTGGAAAGTACTTATAGACAGAAAATACAGCTCACTTCCGAGGCCACATCACAACCGTTATCTAATAACTATTTTTGCTTATTACCATTCTGGGCCAGAGTTGAACTGGTCACCCAGGAGTGAACGGTTCTGTAAGTGGGATGGCTTGATTTAAATCATAGATTTTAATTTTGTTTTGCATTTGTACTTCAGTTAGTTTTCTAAAGAACAGTTAATACTCATTGGCTGGTAAACATTAAAACATGGTGAACTGCAACTAAACACAGTCTTTACACTGAACTTGCTACTTTTGGATTTCTAGAAGGATAGACTTGTACACAATGTTTTAAGCAATTATAGAGCTTAACATACATTTATTAAGATTAGAAAATTGTGAGTGATTCTGTGACAGGATGTACTAGGCTGTTCTTGCTTAGAAGGCATTGCAACCCTGACACACCCAACTGAAAGAAGTGTCATTTGGGAAGAGGGGCAGTGAATTTTGACCTCCAAGCACTGCCTAGAGAAGGCATCCAGGGTACATCTGCACTACACTGTAAATTTGGACTCAGACTCAGGTTTGAACCCAACACGCTCTACCATCTACGCACAAATATGACTTGGGTTAACAAGCCCTCAGGAATTGGGTTCTAGGACCCAACTGGGATGCGGGTGAGCCGAGTCCCCCTGGGACTCGGGTCAAGCCCTGTCATTTTGCAGTATGCATGTGGCTCAAGCCTGGGTCCCCAGACTTGTATCTGGAGATTCCGCCAACACTACCCCAAAATCCCTTAGGCATGTGTTTCTCAGCCCCTCTACCACAAAACTTCCCAATCAATTCTCAGAAACCAGATGCAACCCCACTGTTTTCAAATACAGCTCAAATGCCACTGCCTAGCATTTGCTTTCCACATTGACTGCTCATGTGGAAGCATATTTAACATTCCGTGTCAGCTATGGCCACCGATAGGAAGAACCTTTGCATCAAGCATTCTGGTAGCTGGCCAAAGGAACATAACTGAATTTTGATAAATATCTGGTGCAAGGTGAGCAAGACATCCAACTTCTGTAAGGGTGCAAGAAATGATCATGTGTACAAAGACATTTTAAATAAAACTGAGATGCTGAGGATCTTCCAGACTGCTTATCAGAGCAGAGAGCAAGTCAAATGGTTTAAAATTGACTACAAAGTGGTCAGGGATAGTAATGGCACCTCTGAGAACTCATCTGCTACTTGCCACTTTTACTAGCAATTTGACTGGGTGCTGAGGGTTTCAGTGAGCACTGAGTGGTGCATGACAATCTGCTAAGCAGGGACAGCACCCTCATAAGTCTGGAGAAGAGAAGACTGAGGGGGGACTTGATAACAGTTTTCAAGTACGTAAAAGGTTGTTTCAAAAAAATGTTCTCTTTAACCTCTGAGGCTAGGACGAGAAGCAATTGTCCTAAATTGCAGCAAGGGCAGTTTAGGTTGGACATTAGGAAAAACTTCCTAATTGCCAGGGCAGTTAAGCACTGGAATAAATTGCCCAGGGAGGTTGTGGACTCTCTGTCATAGGAGATTTTTAAAAGCAGGTTAGACAAACACCTGTCAGGGATAGTCTAGATAATACTTAGTCCTGCCTTGAGTGTAGGGTACTGAATTAGAAGACCTCTCAGGGTCCCTTCTAGTCATATGATAAGAAGAATTGCTTGCTTCTTCTAAAGGGGAGTGCTGGGTGAAGCTGGGGAAGGAGAGTTTCTCCCTTGTCTCAACCACAAATGCTCAGCTCTGGGTCAGAGCCTAACAATCCCATTTCACCTTCAGTTAAAGTGTGTGATATGAACTGTTTATTTTTGTTGTGGAGGGTAAAAGCACAAGTGGCCATTTTGAGATGAATTTCAATTAATTAACAAGGAGCTTGCCGTATGAGATGCTTTGCTTCTTGGTGAGCTCAAACAAAGTCATTTCTTATTTGCTAGATCAATTTTCTACTTGTGATTTGTGTCCAAATGTATTTGGACAGAAATTGGAATTAAATGAGAAACACACAAAACAGCATTTTAAAATAGGCGTTTTTGTTAGTTTGGTGCAATAAGGGAGAGGTCTCTGGGACTAATGTGAGGGCGAGAGCACTAGGGTTCAGTGGGAGAGGTGGAATATTTAAGGAAGGAAGGGGTCTCTGGGGCTAACGAGGGCTTTGGGGGTGAAATACATCAGGACAGATGGGGGATCCTTTGGGCTATAGAGGGGGGCTGGAGGGTAAAGGGGGGGGCTGGAAAAGGAAGCTCCTTGGGGTTGGGCACAGCTGGGATGTCCCATGGGATTTGTGTAACTGAGGGGGATGGAGAAGTGGGAGTTATTTGAGGGATGCAGTACTGGGTTAATTTCAAGGGGAGAACCCTAAGGTACTGGTTGGGGGTATTCTGGGATGGTTCACTGTGGCAGGGTGTGGTAACTATCTCATGGAAAAATGAATAATGCTTAAAAAAATGTGGTACAGATAAAGTGGGATTTATACATTTTTATTTATTTATTGTCAGATGCCATAATTTATTAAAGTAAATGTCATATAATGAAAGAAAACAACAACTTAAATGGATAAAACAGTAAGAAGTTAATGGAGCTATAGCTATGCCTCGCTTACCGCGAGGGCATCTCCGCTCCTCACAGCCACTATGTAAACTACATTGGCATGAGTCTTTAGATCATCCCTCTTCCAGGGTGGGTTGGTCCTTAACATCTGTTGGCTCCTTGACCCCTTTCCTGCAACTGCCTACAGGCTTCCTGCCAAGAGTGCTGCTTGGCCGCGCTCAGGAGAGGCAGCAATATGGACAACGTTGACTGCCACCTGAAGCCCCAGCCCTTGTTGTATCCCAGCCAGTGGCCCCCTGCACTTCAGAACCAGGCCCCGCAAGAGAAGCTGGGTGCATCGTTGCTCCCCCCCCCCCGCCCATTTCACTTTACTCACACCGCCATGACAGATGTTCCCAGGTACCCACTACAGCTGTCCCGTGTCCCACACCCGGCCAGCCCCGCTGCTGGCCAGCACAGCGCGGGCTGGGGGTGAAGGGACGTGACAGGGGTGTTCATCCCAGTCACCTCCCGCTAGTCCCCTGCTTTAGCGGGGCCCGCAGCGTTGCGCCGGGGCTCAGCGCGCTGCCCGGCAGGGAGGCGGCGTGTCTCGCGCTACCACGGCTGCGGGGGCGGGGGGGGGACACCCAGGTGACACAAGTGGCGCGAGCCCCACCCCAGCGCCCGCATCCCACCGACCTCGTGGGCAGCCCCCTCGGAGGCGCCGAGGCGTCGACTCAACCCCGCCTTCGCGGGCCCCGCAGGCAGCGGCTGCCCGTCATTAGCAGGCGGCGGCGGCGCCTGGGGAAACGGGGGGGGGAGGGGCTATCCGCGCGCTCTCCAGGTACTGCCCGCCGCTTCCCTGGGCCCGCCAGCTCCAACCGGCTCCGAACGCGCGCGCGGGACCCCCGAGCCTGGCTCCCAACGCCACGTGACCGGCAGGAGGCGGAGCAACGTGAAAGCCACATCCGGGTGAGAGGCTGCTCTCCGTGCGCGTGCCTAAGGGTGAGAGCGGGTCGCCCGCGTGAGAGGGAAGGGTGGCGTTTCCCGGGAAGGTGGCCACCGCAGCAGTTGCGTCACCTGGGGCAGCTGTACTGAGTAGTGACGTACGTACGTACGCACGCAGGTAGACACGTATGCCCGGCCCAGGAGAGGGGAAGCGGGGGTGGGGGAGGGCATTTGGAGTGAATCACCTTCGGCGACAGGTAATAGAACGTTCGGAACGTTCTAAATACCAGCGGTTTCAGCGGCTCCGAAGGTGTGGGGGGAGGGTAGTTTCTTAGGCAGGCAGGCGGGTGAGGCCAGTCCCTGCCTCTTGGCTGGGAACCTGTTCGCCCCTTGGGTTGGCTCTGCCGAGTTCAGTTTGCCAGGCGCTTCAGTGGGGGAGCTCAACAGCTCCCTGAGCAGCCTGGCTGAGCCTGAAGGGGGTGTGAGGTACCCCAGCTCACTGGCCCCCTCCCTCTCCCACAGCTGGGGTAGGGGTTGGGGAGGCACCTGCAGGGCACGAGCCTAGCTGCTGTTGCAGGTGATGGCTTCAGGAGGGCTGGTCTCCTGTTCCTGTCCATTTCTGCAACAGGGTGCTGTGCCCCCGCCTACTAGTGCTGCCAAGGACCCCACGCCAGGGCAGGTATGCCCCTGGTTCTCACAGACCACATGGAGGAAGGGAGGTTACCCAGTGAGGTTGACAGTATTTCACTGCAACTGCAAAATCCTTCATCCCCCTGTGCCTTAAAATTAATATTCCTCAGTGTGGTCGAGTGGTTACAGTGGTAGCCTGGGAGTCTGGAGACCTGGGTTTAATTTCCTGCTCTGCCACAGACTTCCCTGCGTGACCTGGTATGACTCCCTTTGTCTTTCTGTGTCTGTGTTCCCTCTCTGTAAAGCGTGGATAATTGTATGTACTTCACAGAGGTGTTGTGAGGATGCACACTAAAGGCTGCGAGGTGCTCAGATACTGTGGTAATGGGCCCTTCTTCCCTACTCAGAATACTGATAGCTGCCAGTTTGTCTGTTTCCTTGAAATATTATTTTGGTGCAGAAGGTGATGGTGGCCTTGAGGCATCAATTTCCCTATTGGTGGAATGGGTGGGGCTAAAATGAGTGACAAATCTACTATGGCAAATAGGGAACTTCCCTACCACATGGTGGGTAGGATGGTAGGTGCTAAAGCCATCAATTTATGAAGACTTTGTTGAAGAAGTAGATTTTTAGAACTTAAGATAGAGAACCGTTACTCGCCAACGTGTCTGCTGACGGATGTTTATAATACCCCAGTCCATAGTAGCAAAGTGAGGCTATCAAGATCCTGGTCAGTTTTGCTCCTGTTCAGGATAGCTGTGAAACTGCCAATGATCATGTCAATTTCACTTTGTTGCTAGTTAGCACTGCTACCAGTAGCAGAGACCTTCCCTAAAGCTTGCAAGTAGTGGCAAACGGGGCCTATGGGAGTGGCAGAATAATCAGGAGGTTCTGGTTGCGGAAGATGAAGTCAATTCGGTAATGCTTCAGCCAACCAGTATTTTCACTTCTGAGTGTTGGCTTCCTAGTGAAGTGACTCTCAGCAGACTGGTAATGATTTTTGGTCTCTAAAGGCAGAATTTTCCAGTCCTTTACTTACATTTACATATCAATATCTGACCTTAACTACTGCCCTTGGAACTTCCCTCTCACTTCTTTTTGACTCTGTCTTCAGTCATGGCTCTTCTCTCTGGACTACTTTGCTTGCCTTGTGGGTATTCTTTCCAATGTCTCTGTTGTCCAGTCCAGTCCAGATTAGAAATATATTGTTTGGTAGTTTGCCTCAATGCTTCAGTGTGGTTTTGGTCGGCACCCATATTTCAGTGCTTCTATGACCAGTTTTCAGCACTTCAGTTCTTGTCTTTGTGCTTCAGTGCCTGTTTTTGAGCACTTTGTTGCCTGTCTCCATGGTTAGTTCAGAGTATTTTGATGCCAAGTTTTTCCAAGATGTTTTGCACTCAGGTGTCTGTATTGTTGATGTTTCCATGGTTGGCTTTATCACATCAGTGCTTATGGGTAAATACTTAAGCACCAGTTGGCGCAAGTGGTTTTGGTATTTGTTTGTATTGTTTTTACTCAGTTTCCTCAACTATTAAGGCAGAAAGATGACTGTTGAGACACTTTAGGGGCTTCAAAGGCTATCTGAATGGTAGAACCAGATCAGTAGTGAATGAGTATGTCTGCTGTGCTGCATTTACAGTTTAACAAGCAAGTACAGAGGTGTCCAGTGTGCAAGCATTTGCCACTTTGGTAATGAGGAAACATGGAGAACATCTTCTTTTCAAGGCATCCTAGGGAAACGCCCCAAAGTCTGGCACAAAGTCATCCTAGACTGCTTCAAAAGGGAAGCTGCTGAGTACAGTGTGTTTGTACCATCTGCATCAACACAAACCTAGCTTCCTCCTGATATGTCCTTGAAAGTAGGTTCACCAACAAAAAGCCCTGTGCTGCCACTCTGATAAGGGTATGTCTTCACTACCCGCTGGATCGGTGGGCAGAGATCGATCCAGCGGGGATAGATTTATTGTGTCTACTCTAGATGCGATAAATCGACCCCTGAGCGCTCTCCCGTCGACTCCTGTACTCTAGCGCTGCGAGTGGTGCAGGCGGAGTCGACAGAGGAGAGGCAGCAGTTGACTCACCGCGGTGAAGACACCACGATAAGTCAGTTTAAGTACATTGACCTAAGTACGTTGACTTCAGCTACGTTATTCAAGTAGCTGAAGTTGCGTAACTTAGATTGATCCCCCCATAGTGTAGACCAGGACAGTATATGCCAGAACTTTGAGACTTCAGGTCTCAATGTTGAAATCTTTGATGCTGAGTTCTCATGTACCTGATGAGGTGGATCCTTGACACAAGAGATTGAGGTAGGGGGTGTTGAGAGAGAAACCACTACTTTCTTCTGACACACTGCAGTCATATTCCTGTAATCCAGTCAGCTCTGCTTCTGGAGTTACTGCTGATGTGTATTCCCACCTTGGGGGATAAAACAGTGATTCATGATATTACTATATGCTACAAGGCTGACATTTTTCGAATAACAGCTTTGAGGCATTCCTCTTGTCCTTCACTTGTCTGGAGCTCTCAGAGCAGTTTGAATCCTTTTTATATGAAAGTTGATACCTGCTCCTGTGGAGTTTCCTCCTTGGCACATAAAGCTCCGGCTTTGATGCCAGCCCCTTCGTGCCTCTTATGTTGGGATTCCGGCACAATGACTGCTAGAACTTGATGAAGCCTTTGTGATGTTCCAGGTCCTTCCATTGAGTAGACAATTTCAGATGCTTGTGTGGTGTAAGTTGAGGTTCAGGAGGAAAAATATAACTAGATGGAGTCATAAGTGCCAGAGGATTCCTCTGATGCTAAATGTATACCAAGGCAGAAAAGCAACTGGATAACAACCTTCCGGGCAGGATTCAGCATTCTCCCAATTTTTACAGAAGCTGCTAAGACATCTAAGTTTGATGTCTCTGAGGAGTTGGCTGATTCTTACTGCCTTTGTGAAAGTCATCTGCCAGAAGGACTTAAAACAGCAACTGGAAAAAGTTTGTGGTGTGGTGCAGACCAACCCCCATTAACTTCCAAACTTGTATTGCATAAATATTTCTTGTCACATTCTTCAACTGAGTCTATCCAAATTTATTTGACAGCTATATCAGCCTATTGTGCACTAGTAGATAAGTGTTTCTGTAGATCTTTATTGTCAGATTCATTCAGGGCTTGATCCTTTTTCAAATGCCTATATTAAAAAGCTCCTTCCATCATTGAGTATTAATGTGGTGTTGATGAAACTCCTTTTGGACTCGTTTCTTACTTGAAGGGTCTTATTTCTGGTGCGTGATCTCCATTTTATAGCGTGAATGAGTTTAATCCACTTTCATACATTTATTTCTTTTAGAATAGCAAAATTTATGAATGTTTTGTATTTGTTCGCATCTTTCAGGCATCCTGCATAACATCTAGAATTGCGAAGGAAGTATCTTCTCCCTCACTGTGTTTGCAAAATAAATACAGAAAATCTTATTGGCATTGGCCCTATTGTTTCTGCCTGTCAGAGTTTTATTTTCATTTGGTTTTTCTCTTGGACATCACTTGAGCCACACACCTGTTTCCCAGAATTGAGAATCTTGGGGGGATGCTATTTTTATCTTCTCTTAAGATATCATTCCAATAGGCTTCATATTCACCTGCCCACTCCCCTCAGAGTTTGGGAGTAATTGCTCTAGAAAATTATGTTTTTTTAATTTTAAGCAGTAGGTTTTTTTGTTGTCCCCCCCCCTTCCCCCAAATGTTTTGTTTTAATTTAGTGGTTTATTTAGGGAGACTGTGCCTCCAGCTCATTAAGAAACTGACTTGGAAGAGAAAAGGTTAAATTCGGAGAGTTGCGTGGGCAGGAGAGCCGTCAGAAGTTGGGGGCTGGCTTAGATTCCATCCTGCTACTGCTTGTCTTATGGACCAAAAGTTGTTAAGATCTTGAGGCTTTCTGCTTGTCTCAGCCTAAGGAATTAAGATTTAGGAGTGTGAATCTTATTGGAATGGTATCTTCAGAGAAGCTGATTTAAATATCTGTAAGTTTCCCTTTCAGCAACCAGAGTGGGCATTTTGAATTTTGACTTCATAATTTATTATGCCTACTTGCTAGAAGCTTATTAAACAGATGATGTTCCTAAGCAATGTTTAGGGAAAGCCCCCTGGTAGAATTTCTAGCACTCTGCACTTTCCCCTCAGCTGGGTGTGGGAGCTGCTTACCAGGACCTTGCCTGTAGGTCTGAGAGTAATCTTTCATATTGGCCTCAGGCTAGTAGGTGTCATTTAGTAATTTTTTTAAGCCATGGAAACAGGGTTAATAACAATGACTTATGGAACTGATGAGCCCTAATATTAATAAATGTCTTTGGGAGAAAGTGGTATATAGAAGTGAGAAGTATTATTTAGATTACTATTTATTTTTTTTGAGATGGGCTTTCAAATCCTCATAATGGCAGTATATATGCTACGTGATATAAGTAGCAACTTAATTCTAAAAGTCAGGCTGACATTACCTCAGGAAAAAAGTCAAGCCACGCTTAAGAGAATATTTTTGTTCTTAGTCTATGAAAGTGATTAAAA